ATTCATGTGGTTGTGTCTGGGACATACCAGACATTGACCAGTCGGGACCTTAACACGCCGGTCACGAAAAATCGTGTCATTGAACCACGTCCGGGACCCATTAGACCCTCATTGGCAGCAACCTTAGAACGGTGGGCATGTGCACATGTGTCAACGAAGTGATTGCTGGTGGATCGCGTACGGGACCCATTCGACATTGATTGGTCGAGACCTTACGACGTTGGGAGCGCACAAATAAGTTATCAAACACGTACGGGGAACCCTAGACAATGTTCGACGTTACTTTCGTATGGGCCCCAGAATGTTCGAACGCTTCGGTCTCAACCATGCGAACGATCGGATCAGAATCAGAGACCAACAGTCCTGACAGTCCTGACCTCAGTTTCGCATCCAGCGACCGAGACAACTCCTCCAGAAGTCGGACTCTTCATGCACAAGTGGCGGACAGATCTCCTTTCGAGTGAAGTATTGGGTCCAGCAGAGACTGTAGCCTCTTGTTCTATCAGTTTCTCCGCCGATGGAAACTGCCTACTTCATTGATGCAATATTGGCAGGGTTTCTTACGACAAATTTACTTTGATTGTCCAGATTCCAAGTGGACACCAGATATTTTTGAAGACTAAACGCAAATTTCAACATCTCGTCATTTCTCCCGCAGACCAATATCCAGATACAGCAACATGTCGCCATTTCTCCCGCAGGCCAATATCCAGATACAGCGACGTTTCACTTTCCAGCTCAGTGGCATTATTTGCCGTGTATGATTTTCTTGGACACGTCAGTTTTTCAACGTTGCCCACACTTTTTGCACATCCTGATTTCAAAATAAAGAATACCAATTGCTACAGAGCGATATCGCAAGTTTTTACAATCAAGTCGAACATGATCGCATCATTCAAGCCGTTGAATTTGCTGTTCTTAACGCTTCCTTGAAGTTCAAGGCGGGCTCTCCATTGCAAACACATGTATGTCAGAATGACGGTCACATTCATTCAACCTTGGTATAAAGCACTTCGGAGCAGTCGCAGTTCAGGTACATTGAACGCGGTCGTTAGCGGCATCAACGCATGTATTCGTTTGATTGCTTTACACACTTGGCCCCCAGATCTTCCAGTACAAGACTTCATGAGATTGCTTTTCTATCGGGACCCAGAATTATTCACACTTGTTGTGCAGAACATCTTCTTTAAAGAATGTCGTAAGTATTGTCACGCAATTCGAATTGCTGCGTTGTTTGTTTTCTGCGTTCAAAAGGAGTATTTCAAGTGTACCCAGAGATTTACTCGCAATCCTCAAGTGCGACATGTTGCTATGCATAGACTGTACAACAAAATAGATTATGTGTCGTTCGTTTCTTAGTGTACAGAATCAGCACAAATACTCCTGTTCATTCATGTGGTTGTGCCTGGGACATACCAGACATTGACCAGTCGGGACCTTAACACGGGACATCACGGGACCCATTAGACCCTCATTGGCAGCAACCTTAGAACGGCGGGCATGTGCACATGTGTCAACGAAGTGATCGCTGGTGGATCGCGTCCGCGGACCCGGTCGTGTTCCGCAGACTTTGGAAAATTGATGTTGGGAATGTATCAACAAGTTACCAAGCACGTCCAGGAACCCTAGACACTGTGCTGCGCATTTCCACATTTCGCAATTTTCAATAATAATTAGGTCCGGAAATGCCTCCTGAGGGACGCCATTGTGTGTGTGTGTGTAATCCGCTATAGCATGCGGCTTTTCTATGTGCAAGATAGCAGGGGAGCAATCTCATGTTTGCAGCTGATTGCGCAACGAAGAGGGCTGCATTCATGATTGATATGATTCTGGGACGCTCGAGTCATGTACCTGCCCTTGTTCTGCAGTTGTCCAAGCTGTTCGTATCAGGCTGTTTAGGCAAACCGAAGGTATCATATGATATACAAGTACAATTCCGACTCACCATTTCAGGCTCCGATCTCTTAGGTCTCGATTTCTTAGGTTCTGGCAAGGCGACCTGAAGTACACCATTATCAAATTTCCCGTTCAACTTTATCACCAGTGTGTACTCTCCCCCGAAACGGATCGGGCTGACAGTTTGGACTCTTCTCAGTCTGCAACCGCCGGGACCCTTACGACGTATGTATGTTCGTGAAAAGGAACGCTTCGACTGTACACTTTTGTACCAACATTCCAGGGTACCCTAGTCTGCCATAATAGTTGAGTGCTTATCACAAGTAGATCTCGAGTCAGTGTCAGTTGAGGTGATAAAAAGGTGCAAGCTTGACCTTCGACGCTTTTGTGTGTGTGAATCCCGCTAGGTGTCCGGGTAAGAATTTTCCAATTCGTGCAGTCAACAATCAGGGGAAGGAATTTTCAAATTCATGCAGTCAACAAGCAGATGGCCAGCACATGGCATCACGACGCTGGCCAACGAAGCTAGTGATGTCATGGGAAGCGGTTGGAGACGTCTACCCGTGTACCTGCTCAAGAATCGTGTTAGTTTGCATGTTACAGTCAGGCTGTTGCAGGTTCACAGGTATCGATAACCAGATTCACGCCCATTATGCTGTCAGGACGAGTCCTTAGGAATCTTCAAGGCAACGACAACCTCATCGTTACAAAGTTCTTTCTCAGAGTATTTATTTACTCTATCATCAGCGTGTGTGGGGCACAGTCTCACTGACTTGTGAGTGCCGTCTGTACGCTCTGTGGCGTGCATTGAATTGGAGCCGGCCATTCCGGTGTAGCGTGGGGTACTGCAATACCCTGAAGTTTGACGGGACTTGTTGCCTGTGGGGATGTGGCTCCCGGCAGAAATGTGTGAATTACGATTGCTGGTAAATGTCACAGACAGAAATACGTCGCAAGACGGAAACAGGCCATATAGTCTGTTGGTGCGATCCTGGATACGTGTGTATAGCTGGGTGCACCTTTCCTCTTCCTTCCCGGTGGGCTCATGGATGCGGTTTGCATAGCCTGGGACACCGCCCTCCCTTCTTGTCCTGTCCTGTTCTTCTCCTCTTCCTTCCCTCTTTTCCCACCCACCCAACCCCTTTCTTCCCAGACCTCACAATTGTGTTTGTTCCTTCCCTGTGCTGTCCGGCTTCAATTTTCTCGCTGCTGTGTTTTTGCTTTGTTGCCTGCTGCGCTTTGCGCTGCTTGCTCTTCTGCGTGCCAGGGTTGGGTTCCTGTGTGCTTTTTCTCCCGCCCTCCCGTTTTCCTTCCTTTGTTCTGCCTGCGTGTGGTGTGCTCCCCTGCCTGTTTTCTTCCTTTTGTTTCCCCGTTGTTGGTTGTGGCTGGCTGTCCTTGTTCCCTCCTTCCACCCTCCCCCCTCTTGTGTGTGTGTGTACTCTCCCCCGAAACGGTTCGGGCTGACAGTTTGGACTTCTCAGTCTGCAATCGCCGGGACCCTTATGACATATGATGATTGTCGCGCAAGGCAGCGCAAGCAAACCCGGTAGGTTTGTGCTAGATTTTTTCACACCCATGTTCAAAGAGATGTTATATGTGTTCCTGATTGCTTGTTCTTTCAACATGATGAAAAATTAAAATGCAACACTTTGCGCCTTAAACTTGAAACCTAAAGATGTCTTGCTGAATTTTTGTGCTGCTGAGTTATTTTCATTGTTTCAAGGTCGTCTTTCAACTTTGCGAATTTGTGTGTGATTTACCTGCTGGATCCCCCACTAGCAATGCACTAGCAAAAGTTGCACAAAACGGCTTTGGCTGACCCATGGCCCAGTCGCCGCCAGAGAACTTGTAAAGGCAAAGGGAAGCCCTGCAGCAGATGAACATATCTTCCAGTTCCACGACTTAACTCGCAGTGGCACCTACTTCATATGGATGTGCGTCAGGTTTTAGGTGCGGTTTCACACATGAAGGAGAAAATGCAGGGTTTCAGACAGTTTAATTTAGATAAGTCATAGTTTTTCAAGGCCAAGCAAGAAGCGGCGCGCATGGAATTACGGCTTATATATCAACCAAACCAGAATACGACATTTTGAAAACCGTCATGTGTGTGCAAGAAAGCGTGCGTTTGTGTGTGTGTGTGAAAACGTCTGTGTGTAAAAAACCTCTCTGTGTAAAAGTGTGTTTCTGTAAAAATGTGTGTGTGTGTGTGCGCATGCGTGTGTGTGTGTGTAAAGCCATCAGCGTGAAAATGTTTCTGTGTAAAAACAATTGTGAAAACCATCTGTGTGACTCTGTCTGTGTATAAAAACAGTTGTGTGTAAAAGCGCCTGCGTGTGAAAAAACAATGTGCGAAAAGGCGTTTGTGCGTAAAAATGTGTCTGTGTGTGTAAAGGCATCAAGACCGTTGGTGAACGCAATTAGGAGCGCCCTGACGGTAAAGATGTCCGTGTTGCATTTTTTCAAGCATCTTATCTTATCAATTGTTTTATTTATTTTTCTCCCCCTTCTACCGTGTTGTTTTGTCTCCTTCACACATTTTTTTTTGCAGTTCTTGTTTTTTTCTAAACATATTCCCTACAACATTGTTTTTTTAATCGTGGGAGTTCACATTCGCCTGTGTAACTGCGTTCGTTTACGCTCTCGGGCCATCCGTCGTCTAGTATGCAAAAATCCGTGCATGCACGCATGCATGGATGCAATGTAACTTTTGTGTAATAGAAAATTATGCCACGTTGTGTTTTTTCTAAATGTGTTATTTTATTATCTTATTCTAGGGTTATGTTACATATTTTTGTTGTCTTAGTTAGCGTTGTGTTACGTTACATTGCGTTGCGTTGCGCTGTGTTGTGTGTTGTATTTATGTTATTTTATGTTATGTTATGTTCCTCACATATGTTGCATAGACACTTATGCATTATGTGTGTTTCACACAAGGTAATGTGCTGGTAAGGTTATTTGAGTGCTTCTTTGATGTTTGTTCATCAAGCAGCAGTCCAGGGATCAAACTGGTTTGGACAGATTAGTAACTGTTGAACTTTTGGGATCTTTTGGCTACGTATGTTAAGCCGGATGGAACTCAAAGTCTTCAGCCTTGAAGCTGCAAGGAGTCAAGTTTCCCTGGTCAAGGTGCTGGCTGTGAATGGGTCTTGGCCTTGCGAATGCTTTGTGGGTGAAACTACCACTACTGACACTACTGTATGCCGAAGAGTGATTCACAAGGGCCTGGGGCGGCCTGTTTTGCAGATGCCACATCTTTTCAGGGTTCTGTCAGTTGCTGACTTGCATGAGGCCGGCGCCAGTGAAGGCGTCCGAGTGAGGCGCGGGTGTGTTTCAGCATTTGCCAGAGCTGCGGGAGAACACTGACTCATCAGTAATTTCTCAATTGATGTGGACTGGTTTTGCAGAATGACTTCTAAAATGCATGCAGATTGAAACCCACATGTCATCCATCCACTGCCAAGATAGGGGACAGTTATTTTCAGCCGCTTCTTGTAGGTAAGTACCTTCCTGGTGTCCTTTTTCCCGAATGCGTAGCAAGGGTTCCCGTTTCACTCTGGGGGTCTGGGGGTTGAGGGTGTGTTCGCTCGACGTTGCGTTCGCGTCCGCAACCGTCCGCAACCGTTCGCCGTGCCTATGGTAAGTTCACGTAAGTTCTGCAGAGGTGGTCATTTTTGGAGGTTTCAAACGTCTCGTTGCTTCGTTTCGCGTGGCAGGCGTGGCACTTCGTGACATTGAGAGGTGTTTTGTATAACGTGTCGAAAGTCGTTTTGTGTGGCAGGCGCAATACTTTTGCGACGTTTTCAGAAGATGCGTTGCAGTTTTCGTGGCAGGCGCAGCACTTTGGACGTGTCCATCGTCATTTTTCGTGGCAGGCGCAGCACTTTAGACGTGTCGTGTTGAGTGTTTTTGCAAATCGCGTTGGCAGGGCTGCGTCAAGGAAGCTGCAAAACTTCTCCTTTTCGAAGGTTTCCAAGCAGGTTGTCATGTCGTTTTGCATGGCAGGCGTGGCACTTTGTGACATTCCAACCTGTTTGCTAACGTGTCGAAAATGTCAAATTTGGAGGAACTCTCGCACGAAATGCTCGTTTTTCCTGCACCCACGTGTCTCGTCTCGAGTCTCTGGTTTTCCTGTGGCGTCGCCGTGTCTATAGGGGAAGCTCCGCACTCTACACTTTACACTCCACACTCCACAATTTACACTTTAGATCACTTTAGACTCCACACTTTACACTTTACACTCCTCACTTTACACTTTGCACTTTACACTCCTCACTCCTCACTCGAGACTTTACACTCCACACTTTACACTCCACACTCCTCACTCTACACTTTACACTCTACACTTTACACTCTACACTCTACACTCCACACTTGACATTTTACACTCCAGACTTTACACTTTACACTCCTCACTCCACACTTTACACTCCACACTCCTCACTTTACACTCCACACTCCTCAATTTACACTCCACACTCCACACTTCTTACTTTAGACTCCGCACTCCACACTTTACACTTTACACTCCACACTTTACACTTTGCACTTTACACTCCTCACTCCTCACTCGAGACTTTACACTCCACACTTTACACTCCACACTCCTCACTCTACACTTTACACTCTACACTCCACACTTGGCATTTTACACTCCAGACTTTACACTTTACACTCCTAACTCCACACTTTACACTCCACACTCCTCACTTTACACTCCACACTCCTCAATTTACACTCCACACTCCACACTTCTTACTTTACACTCCGCACTCCACACTCTACACTTTCCACTCCACACTCCGCACTCCACACTTTACACTCCACATTCCACACTCCACAATTTACACTTTTGACTCCTGACTCCTGACTCCACACTCTACACTATACACCCCACACTTTACACTCCACACTCCACACTCTACACTTTACACTCTACACTTTACACTCTACACTTTACACTCTACACTCCACACTTTACAGTTTACACTCCACACTTTACATTTTACACTCCTCACTCCACACTTTACACTCCTCACTCCACACTCTACACTTTACACTCTACACTTTACACTCTACACTCCACACTTTACACTTTACACACTCCACACTCGTCACTCCACACTTTCCACCCCACACTCCACACTCTACACTTTACACTCCACACTCCTCATTGTACACTCCACACTCCACAGTCTACACTTTACACTCCGCACTCCACACTCCACACTTTACACTCCGCACTCCTCAATTTACACTCCACACTCCACACTTCTTACTTTACACTCCGCACTCCACACTCGACACTTTCCACTCCACACTCCACACTCCACACTTTACACTCCACATTCCACACTCCACAATTTACACTTTTGACTCCTGACTCCTGACTCCACACTCTACACTATACACCCCACACTCCACACTTTACACTCCACACTCCCCACACTACACTTTACACTCTACACTTTACACTCTACACTTTACACTCTACACTTTACACTCTACACTCCACACTTTACAGTTTACACTCCACACTTTACATTTTACACTCCTCACTCCACACTTTACACTCCTCACTCCACACTCTACACTTTACACTCTACACTTTACACTCTACACTCCACACTTTACACTTTACACACTCCACACTCGTCACTCCACACTTTCCACCCCACACTCCACACTCTACACTTTACACTCCACACTCCTCATTGTACACTCCACACTCCACAGTCTACACTTTACACTCCGCACTCCACACTCCACACTTTACACTCCGCACTCCTCAATTTACACTCCACACTCCACACTTCTTACTTTACACTCCGCACTCCACACTTTACACTTTACACTCCACACTTTACACTTTGCACTTTACACTCCTCACTCCTCACTCGAGACTTTACACTCCACACTTTACACTCCACACTCCTCACTCCACACTCTACACTTTCCACCCCACACTCCGCACTCTACACTTTACACTCCACACTCCACACTTTACACTCCACACTCTACACTTTACACTTCACACGCTACACTCCACACTCCACACTGCAGACTGGTAACAGGGGAAATATGTACAAGACTGTTCAAATAAACTATTGCAGAAAAGTGTTCTGCGTGATTGCATATCCATGTGTTTTGACATCTGTACCATTAACATACGTGTGAGCATTCGGGTTCGTGGGCTGCATCTTGTTGCGAACGAGGATTTTGATTCGAATAGTGTCACCTGTGGTGTTCAAACGCCATCCAATTTATCCCTCAACATGGTGGAGCTATGTTTGATTGGTGTTTTGGCTGATCCGCATTGCCCATGCAAGGATTTTTCCAGAGCTGGACGAATTCGCTCCACTAACGGCTGCAGACTATCTCCCAAGGAGCGCCCTGAAGGGCAGGTTTGAGCCGCTAGTTCGCTAGTAAGCTGTTCAAACAGAGTTAGATATGGTGAAAACAAGAAGTGCCTGCATGGTCCGGGCAATAGCACGGGAGTTGAAGGATACAGGCTCCAGTGTCCATTTGATGTGTGACAAGCTTCATGGCTAATACCTGTTCTGCTGACATGTTCCTTGGCAGGACGGGGATGCTGATGAGCCGCAAGAAGAAACTCAAAGCGAAGCTTCAGCGCTAGCAAACACAGGCCGTGCTGCACCTTGCCTCATCTTCCTGCACACTGCAAATATCTAAGGCGATTCTCTTCGTTACTGGCACGCATATCACAAAGCACTAGCCATCATATTTGCATGATTGATTTTTTCTTTTGAGAATATTTGAGAGTACAACCATTGTGGGGTTTCTGAGCCTAGTGGCCCAAAAAGTATGGAATTTAGCTCCACCGCAAGTAAAAACAAATTGATTACACTTTACACTTTAAACATGTAAAACAGATGTTTTTTGCAGCTTGCGCCTGGACATATACATTTGTACAGTAGTACATGATGCATGAATACAAGGGAGCAAGCAAGCGAGTGAGAGAGGGAGAGAGAAGAGCGAGGGAGAACCAGAGGAAGGAGAAGAGGGGCATACATTTTGTGCATGAAATATGTGTTTTTTCCCCAAACTGGCTGACATGCAAAAGCAAGGAGGCAGCTACCCACGAACAGAGGGAGGCGACTTCATGGCTTTGACCAGGCCAAAGGACAGCGCTGAGAGCCCTGACTTTCGTTTCGGTCGAGCTGGTCATTTTGCAGATCTTGCAAGGATGGTGCGGACGGACTGGTTCGAGGATTGAAGACCGCTGGGGTGCCTCTCTCTGTTTTACCTGCAGCGACGCGACATAATAGGGAGCAGCTTTGCACCTCTTCAAAACAGCAAAAAAATCATCATTTTTACTTTCATTTTCTCTTGTGGAGGCGGGTGTTGCAGGAGGCCTGGTCACTGCGGTGTGGACCCCAGAATCAGATCGGAGAATGGAAGCTCGACTTCTAGATTCTAGATGCAGAGCACAATATTAAAGTTGTATACCACAATACTTGGCTTGAGCCTGCACTGCGATAAGCAACTGATCAAGCATGGATCCAGTGAGTTCAAGGTGGCCGCACCAGTTCACGGTGCGAGGCTGCTCAGACAGTTTCTCTTGCATGCAGTTATGTAGTTGGACTTCCCAGTGGGTTTCTGCCTTGAGATAAACTTTTCCTTTTTGGGTTGGAGGTCTGGTGGGGCAAGCGGCTTCTTCAAGGGACTTGGTCTGGATTTCAGTGACATTGCAAGTGATCGAAGAAGCTTGTCAAGCTGTTGCATCGGTTGCTGCTCCCTGATTCACAAAGAAAGGCAGGCGGTTTGAAAGTCTGCGGATAGGCAGGCTAGCAGGTTGTTTGCAAGCAACCCCCCAACGTGATGATCAACTTAATCATATTTTAGTGTGACCGGGCTCATTTTTGCTGTTTCGGGATTCCCTTGGGGCGCAGCAAAGACATGGGATGGACCCGGATAGACCCGTGATAGATTGTGATAGACACCCCAGAGGAGTTCAGAGGGGACATCCTCATAGGAGCCCACAGGATGTCACAGGATGCTCTGAAAAGGGAAGCCAGTTGCGCGGTGTGGCGCGCGTGGTGCACTGAGGTGCAGGAGTCCTTGGTGGCGCTGCGATGGTGGTGGGTGGCGTTGGCTGTGGCGTCGCTCAGGTGCAGCGAAAGGTGACAGCGCCAACAAATTGAGAACAAACTTGACCAAACTCCGAGAATGGATAGGGCCTGATAGGGCCGGATTGTTTGTAGGTAAAGACTTGCAAAGACTCCATCCGACTGGAATACCAAAAGGAAGTGCAAGATCTGTGGACGGACAGTTCGTCATGCGACCGGCTGTGTAGAGATTTGGTCCCCCGCTTACACCAAAAGCCCAAAGATTGCCACTTCTGAAGGTCGGGAGAGGGCTCATGCAAGCTCCAAAAGCTGCCCGGGCACGGCGTGTCAGCCTCGATTCTGTAGGGCATTGAGTTGTGCTGCAAAGTATGGACGCTGGACACTGGATTGGTTAAGCCGCCTTCTTGGCTCCCAATTGCCATCCCAGATTCTTGCTCACAAAGGATTAGTTGCTGGGAAACTAGTGACTATTTGAGGTTTTGAAATTGAGCTACTTCTAGGTGTGCTTTCCACATTTTTTCCTCCATACCGTACCTGTGGATGCCGAGGTGAGGAAAAGGTTTGGGATCAGGAACTTGGTTGCTGGGTTCGGCGCTCAAAGTCCCTGCTAGCTACATGCAAGCTGCAAACTCTTGCGCGGCGTACTTCCCATATTCTACATGGCTGGCCCCCTTTTTGCCAGGAGTAGACCAAACTTAAGCTTGCACTTGTTACATGTTGTTGCCATATTTTTGGGCCGAGCCCATGATTCTTGATGGTTTTGCAGGTGCATGCATGATCGCTGTCCAGTACGGACGATGTACTGCGGATGTAATGCGCAGGGATCGGCCTCTCGTGTCAGGGAAGCGCAAAACGTCAAGGACATTGAAGGATGAATATAATAAGGAAGCTGAAAAAGCGAGCATTGAAATTTTGCGATTCGGACTCGTGTGAGGTCGACGTGGACCTGTGTGCCTTAGAGCGGCAAGTTGCCCAGGACTGACTTTCAGACGAACCATGACCCACCATAACGAACCAGCTGTTCAAAGGTTCCAAGGAGGCACGGCCATAGATTCCAGTGTGCAAGATCGTCCCAGCTCTAAAGGACGCTGACAAAGATGCCACTTCAAGCCCAGGAGGCATTGATTCACATCCATCCTCACTAAGCTACAGCTCGCTTTTTGTTCGCAGTTGTCCCCAATGGACTTCGGGCTGCTGTGACAAGCTGTGGCTAAGTGCCGACCAATTTCCTTCCTGCAAGCAGTCAATGCCGTTTGGTCAGGTTCAGCAGGGGGAAGTGGTGGGGGGCAAGTTGTCAGACACTCAGATTTGACGCAGCAATCCTCTACATTTGCGTGACTGCACAAGATGGGAAACGCAGAGACCAGGCTGACACCGAGTACTACGACTTGCTTCGAGTTCAGCTGGCTACCTGTGGCGCAGACTTCGAACTTGACAAGTGCAAACCAGTATTCCAGAATGTTGATGAACCCACATCCTTCATCCCGCCGCAGCTGTCTGCAGTTGGCATGGAGCTTGCCGAAGAACGCAAAAAAACTCATGCAAGAATAGAATAGAACCCGCCAGCTTCTACAAAAATGCGACAAAACACATAAGGAGAAGGACGTACATTGTGATGGGCTGATGGACCACAACCACAGGCAATCTCAAAGATTTCAAATTTATGCTAAGTTTCCAGACGTCACTTTTGAATTCGGCTCCGCATGGCTAAGCCAGGCAAGGCCGCAAGGCTGAGGAGCCTAAGGCTAGAAGAGTGCAAGCGACTGCTGCATGTTCAAAATGGTTTGTGCAATTCCATGATTCGAAGGCAGTGAATGCAATGAATGCGATGGCTGTTTGTGAGACGAACTATGAGACCTGTGGGGCCAATGGGCAAAGCGAGTCCTCAGATTCTGTCTCCGACAGCTCCGGTTCTGAGAGCTTGGACAATGCGGAGATACCTCACCAGAGCAGTGTGATGGCCATCGTCCGCGAAAGATTGCGGACAGCACATGGCCTTGAGCATACGGAGTCTGACCACTTCATATGGTCTACGGAGTCTGAGGTCTATGAAGAGGAACTGCCTTTGGCAAAGCGTAGAAGCTGCAAGCTGCCTTTACGATTTGTGATATCATCCCTCATTATCATTGCCGTCTTGGCTTCATCATGCACGATGTACGCATATCTTATGCTGCAGTGGAGCCGTGCACATGGTGAAACGATAAACCTTTTCAGAGAAGCTGATTTGAAGATTTTTCGACATGTAAGCCTTGTTGTTTTTTAATGTTTACTTTTACTGCCGTCCCTGTACGATGGCTGTCGAGGAAGGGTCGCCTTTTGAATCATATCACATATATAATTATATATATATAATTTTATATCTATACATAAATCTATATATATATATAGAGAATTATATAGATATCTCTCTCCTTCTATATTTGCACACACACATATATATATATATATACGTGGTACCCCAAAAAAACGACGTTTTTGAGGTCGCAACGCTTTTGGGACAAATTACCCTGTTCAGTTTGAGTTCCAGTGGGGGGTACTAAATATATACACATATGTGTGTATGAATTGTTGTCTTACTGTTGACCCAGGTACTTAGAGCAATTTTGTCACCAGAAGCGTTTGCAAATGTTTGCAAACGAGTCCAGGGGCCCAAGTACTTAGACTGGCTCAGGATTCAAGTTTCAAGATTCAAAAAAAACTTCTTGAATCCAGAAACTCTCCTGATCCTAGCCCCGGGATTCAAGAATTTTTTTTTGGATCTTGAATTTTGAATCTTGAATCCTGAGCCAGTCTCGTTTGCAATCGTTTGCAAATGCTTCTGGTGACAGTTGCTCTAAGTACCTGGCCCTCTATGCTAGCAGGCCAACATAGCACTATGCTCTCAGGTACTGCATGCACTTGGAATATTAAAGGTGTAGTAAGCGACTTTTTTCATGAAAACACAAGGTATTTTAAAGATATACTAAAGAGAGAGAGAGATATATATATATCTATATATTTATTTTTATTATATGGTGATCGATCTAAAGGTCCTTGTAAGGAGTTTTAATTGCGAAAGCCGTGCGTGTTATGTTGGAAACCCTCGCGAAAGTTTTTTTTCGAGCTCGCGAAAGTAAAATTTTATATCGCGAAAGTTTCGCGAAAGTTGGGTATTATAATCATTATATGTAAAGGGCTGCCACCCACTGCCGCCCGGGGTCCGGCAGGAGAAGGGCACCAGAGAATGCGAGTAGCAGTAGCCAAGTTTCCAAAAGTGAGGCTTTGCGAGAGCCAAACACCAAGGCCCCTGGTCTTCGCTTTTCCTTCAGTGCACCCCCTGCTGATGGCCGGGGTCTGTGAATAGGGATATTTTCGCGAAAGTTCCGCGAAAGTTATGCGAAAGAGCGGGCGAAAGTCAAAGTGCATGTTGAAGGGGGTGGGCCAGTAAACTTTGCAAAAAAAATCTGTCCTGAGAAGGGATTCCGCGCTGCATGTTTAAAAGGCTACCAAGAAGTGATCCGTGATTCTCTGGCGTAATTTGGCAGGTGGTGAACGAATCTTCATAAGAGGTGTTGTTGGCCAACATGGGCCCCGCGAAAGATAAACATGGAGTTCGCGAAAGTTTCGCGAAAGTATAATTTATTCGCGAAGAATGGCCGGTCCGGGATAAAGGAATTTTGATCAACAACCATATAGATTCATGGCCAGACTGGAATATTACAGGTATACTACAGGTATATTGAATGGTATATTAGAGGTGGATTAGATGATATACTAAAGGTATATTAAAGGTATTTTCAAAGTCAAACAAATGGTATATTAAAGGTAGTTTCATGGTATATAAAATGGTATGCTAAAACCATTTTAAACCATATAGTAATGGTATACCAAATGGATATTTTTAATGATTCTAACATGGTAAGCTAAGTATAGATTGTATATTTAAGGTTTATTAGAGGCAAACTAGATGGTAAGTAAAAGGTATTTTAGAGACATAGTGGTATTTTCAAGGTCAACCAAATGGTATATGAAAGGTATATACCTTCAAGGTATACTAAAGGTGTAGTAAACGACATTTTTAATAGTATTAGTTAATCGTATATCAAATGGAATATTAACGGTTCTTAAATGGTAAGCTAAGTGTAGATGGTACATTCAAGGTTTATTAAAGACAAATTAAATGGAAAATAAAAGGTATGCTAGAGGTAGAGAGGTATCCTAAAGGTGTATTAAAGATGTTTTCATGGCTAATAAAATGGTATATCTAAGGTAGATTAAATGGTATAGTGAAGTTTTATGCATTGAAGGTATATTCAAAGTATACTAAAGGTATTTTCAAGGCCAATTAAAAATTATATTATAAATTATATATATATAAGGTAGCTTCATCGTTATCCAATGGAATGCTACCGGTATATTGAATGGTATGTTAAAATTTTTAAGATGGTTAACAGGGGATTTTGAAGGTACGCCAAAGGTTTACTAAAAGTTTATTAAAGATATGCTTATGGTCAATTCACTGGTATATTAAAGTATATGGGATCTTTAATGAAGCTATATTCATTGCAGATTAAAAATTGCTGACCAAAACATTATTCTTACTCTGTTGCATCAAAAACAAAGACATATCCAAAATGTTAGAACCTGGTGTTTTGAAAGAAATATTGTATGATTGAAGGAAGGCTTAATATTAGTTTGAAAGGAAGACTGCACTTCTTCAGAAAAAAATCACTACATGTTTAGAGGAATGCTCTATACTTTGTAGGGGTACTGTTTCTTGAACGAAGTCTTACTTTGTCTGGAAGGAAAATTGCAGTTTATGAATGAAGTTGCCTTTTTTCAAGCACGGAAAGGAACGCTGCAATTTAAAACAGATTGCTTCCTTCAAGAAATGTTGTGCTTTCTGACCTGAGTATGTGCCAATTTTTTTTGAAAGTAATAGTGTACCTACTTTGTTTTTGCAAAAGGTTCCCAACAAATACTACCTCTTTGACATCAACAAAAAGCTGTAAATGGTAGATCTTTGGGGGGGGTAGCTATATGGTACCCCCCCCCCAAAGATCTACAATTTTTGACCTACCTTTTTGAAATCTTGTGGTTTGGGATGATACATGTCTGCAATCCCTTCAAATCCTCGCAGCCCTACGACACCCATTGCCAACTCTCAAAAACGTCGGTTTTGGGGGGGGCTAGCATATATATATATATGTATTTTTATATATATATATTTATATTTGTATATTTATATATTTATTTATACACTTCAAAGGCTCAAGGTTCCTGCTAAAATCATTAAATTGATTCAGTGTTTCTATTCCAATCCTGACTTCAAGGTTTCTGTGAATGGAATTGACTCGGACTGGAAGAAGCAGAAAACGGGAATAAGACAAGGCTGTCCCCTTTCTCCTTATCTTTTCTGCTTGGAAAATGAGTGCTATGTTCACTGATATCAAATCTGAGCTTAACACACCCAAACAACGCCAACCATTCGATGGAATCTCCTTTACCGAAATTTTGTTTGCTGATGATACCCTCATTTTTGGAGCCAACACTCACTGTATCAATGTTCTACTTCACGCTATCGAAAGACATTCGGCCTATTTTGGGTTAAAATTAAATTATAACAAGTGCATTAACCTGACTGCTAATCAAAGGATTTCTTCTGTACGATTTTCACCTAACGGACCAGCAGCCGGAGCATTAGTCCCACGCAAATCCTCCGCTACATACCTTGGCACTCTCCTCACAGACTCTTTCAATAATAAAGCAGAGGTAGCCAACCGGCTAAACGACTGTATAGCTACCTGCAACAGGCTGAAACTATTCTGGAAAAAGGCGCGTACCAGCATCAAATGGAAAATCCAGGTCTTCAACGCCATTATTAGATCCAAACTTCTATATAGTCTTGAATGCATTCAACTAACACAGGCGGAAATATCTAAACTAAACGGTTTCCAAAACAAGTCCCTCAGAAGGATTCTTGACATTCCCCCGACTTTCATCGATAGGCAATACACAAACGAACGCATGTATGATTTGATCAAGAATCAATACGGATGTCATTATGAGAGCTTTGGTGAAACATGGCGGAAAAGGAAATGCAATTTTTTTGGACATATCCTCAGATGTCGCAGTGATGACCCCCTTTTTCAAGTTACCTTTTCTCATACTATTTTTTCGTCTAGAACCCCTCCTCTACTGAGACCAGGCAGACCCAGAGCAGATTGGCTCATTGAAACATTTAAAGATTCTTGTTACTACTTATATGGACCAGACAGACAATTTGATTTTAACGACAGACACTTGATCGCAGATATAAAACAAGCAGCTGTAAACAGAATAGGACCTTTCTCTACAAATAAATGATGTTTGTCGGGACTTCTGTCCCAAAGGCCTTTGGCCTCTCGAGGTACTGCTCTTGGTAATTCTCAGATGTTGCGCCGGACTTCCTATTTTCTCACTCAATGGCATTCTTCATCTTTTCTGATAGATCACACCCCCTCTGACAGTTGTAGCCTTGTACATTAAAACTGTTTTAACTGCGGTTGTCCTCCTTTTAGGAGAAGTGATTATTTTTCACCCCGTCTATTCTTACATCTTTTTATTTCGTGAAGCGGAATGGCCAATTTGCCATCAGTTGCTGTTGGGAGCCCATTTGTGCTCGTTGGAAAAAATATTTATTTATTTATCTGTGTGGCAGGGACCTTTGGTATAATGCGACCGTCCTCCTTTCCGGTCCCATTTGTTTCCATACTTGTCTCCTTGTTTGTTCCCAACTTGTCTCTTTATTTCTCTATCTCCATTGCGATTCTTCTCTCTAGGTGCTTTTGGTCAAAGGAATCTCCTTGTCTCCCGTTCCTCATTTCTCTCTCCATTGCTCAGTGTGCTTCGTTCTGGTGGCTTTGGGGGCAGGACTCAAGTCCCATCTGTTTTCCTACTCGTCCCTCTACTTCACTCTCACATGTGGCTGTTCTCTCTGGGTGCTTCCGGGGCACAGTATGCTCCTTGTCCTCTGTCTGCCTCCGTGCTTGTCCCCCTTGTTCTCTCCAACTCGTGCCCTTCTCTCTCTCTCTGTCTATCTATCTATCTATCTATCTATCCATCTATCTATCTATCTATCTAATGTCAACATCGTATTAATAACCCCCCCCAAACATTAAGAGCATCAGAATAAAGTTAGGGCCAAACATTCAACTATCATTAATATTAAAAAAAATCAGACCTATGTATTCCCAA